GCGTGAAGGACAAGGGTGGGCTGCTGCTGGTACCAGGCTCTTCCTATGGGGCACCGGGCCAGAGCTGCGCTCAGGGTGGGTGATGGCAGTGCTGGGAGGCAGAGGCTACAATGAATTTTGAGGCAGCTGCAGGCCTTTTCCCTCGCCCCTTTCAGCACCACCGCCACCCACCTGAGTGCAGCCCGCCCTCATCCTGCGTGCAGATATGGGGGCACACATCTCTCATGCCCTTCCGGGATGCTTGCAGCTCCCTCCCCGCGCCTCCAACGAGCCGCTTGTGGCTCCACCCCACACTGCCCTGGCTGTGCAGCGCCTGCCCCTGTCCGAGCCCCATTTCCTCCTTCCCTCACTGTGGGGGGCCTTGATCTGCCTCCCTCCCCTTGTCCCTTCCCCTACAGACTTACCAGCTGGATGTTACTATCTAAGCTGCCGGGCTGCATATCAGCAATCAGACCGGTATCGGCAGATATGGCTCTTTAAAGATCAGCCATTGGTATTGGCCCAAAAAATCTCTATCAGTCCACTTTTATTAGTTATCTTTCATTAAAATTCTTTGATTTCTAGGGCTATTTCAAAGTCGCCTGAAAACTCAAGGTTCTGAAGATGAACAGAAAATGCATGCACACTAAAAAAAAATGTATGAAAGCCATTATTGGCACCAAGGGGATGGAAAGCTATGCAGTCTTGTGGAGAAGCCCATCAGACTTCGGAATCACAAAGTACAAAAATGCAATCGCTACATACTGGCATTGAGATTTATCAATCAGGAGTCAAGTAGCAAAGCGTTTAAGCCCCTCTCAATAGAAGGGCCAATGTCTTGGCTCTCAGTGACCGTGTGACAAGCCTAGAGGGTGGGTAGGATCTGCACAATATATTTCAAGTCAAGCTGCAAATAAAAGCTGTGGGGTCAATGGCGGCAATCTCTAGGAGCTGCTAGTTGGGTTGTGATCTGACAGAATTGCTTTAGCACGTGAAGCTCTTCTGAGGCAGGGAAGAGAAAGAAGCAGAATATCCCCCTTGCCTTGTCTGTGCTCACCATGCTCCTAGGTCCTGGTACTATGGGGACCAGCTTCCATTTAAGTGCAGACATTGTCTCACCAGGCTTGCCACAGACACCAGTACAACAACCGTCTTTCACCAGCCTTAGCCCCCCAAACCAAGTGTAGAAATCGCTTCCCAAATCTTTGCATGCCTGAAGCTTTGTAATGAAGTCTCATGTCTACTAGAGGTAGAAACACTTTCCCCACCCCAACCACGAGCCATACTGCATATCTGAATTTCCATATCCTGGAGGAAGGTGCAGAGCCACCTCATACAACTGACTACTGCCACAAACGAGATTGTAGGTGTTCAGGTATTTTCTTCCAGAGACATGGAAGATGGGCTCTTCCAGTCCTAACCCACTTACAGACAATGAGGGCAGATCCCAGCCACAGAGCAGAACCAACAGGAGACCCCAGTGTCTTGCTCATGAGTTAGGATCATGTTAACTTCAAACTTTAACAGAAGGGCCTCACGGTTTATTTTTACTGATTGCCTCAATATCTATCAGTAGCGCAACGCTACCCCAGGAAGCTCAGCTGCCCCTGAAAACCAGGGTATTCGTAACCCACAAGCGGAAACATGCTCAGAGTTACAAATCTCCCACAGGAGATCAGCTTTTGCTCCTCCTTTCAAGGAGAGAGAGGGGTCTGGATTGCAGGCCACGCTCCAAATGCTAAGCAGGATAACCTGACAAAAAACAGAATCCTGATGTAATGTCAAGTCGTCAGAACGTGTGTCAAGATGACCCCTGCTGTACATGGGAAGGGACGGCAGATTCTGACTCAGCCACCTGCTCTTCCCAGCTCTGACAAGCTGCACGGTTTACTCCAAGATGCTTCTGTTCCATTGCCCCACAGTTCATGCAGTCCCATTCCAAAGCAACTCGATTTACCCACGAGAAACCAATGATATGAGAGGCTGAGAGAGGTCTTGTTTGCCAAAGGCGAACATACTCCGCATGTCATCTTATTAGCCATTTCAGCTTTCTGGTGCCCTCTTGGAGATGCTGGCTACATCTGTCTGCACAAAATGAAGTTCCCTTTTAGAAAACCTCAGGAGTACAAGAATTTTCTACAGCCAGGCTAAGCAGCACATGTTCTGCCAGACACTGTTACTGGAACCACTTATGAAATCAAATCTCTATCGACTGAGACGCACCGAGTCGGTTTCATAAAGGGGACACTGACAGCTTCCTCCGCAGGGCCAGGTGTCACCTCCAGTGCCCTCGGCCTACAATTCTGAAGGCTTCTCGCCACGCTCATCTGGTTGCCACCACAAAGAGGGCCAGGTAAATGGCAATTCTTGCACCTACTTGGGAGAAGCAAGCTTATTACAATGCAGACTGGATTTACTCTCTTGTTTTCCACAAGAAAAACCCATTTGCATTAAGGTCCAAGGTTGCCTTCTGGTACCGTGTATGAGGTAAACACGCAGGACCACAACCCAGAGAGAGGCACAAGTCAAGAGGGGTCTTCTCTAAGGACAGAAGTCTTCTCCAGTCATGACAACAGAGGGCCCTTTTCTGAATATGATACTTAAAGAGCTTTACTCTGATCCACAGGCAGAAGGGCCAACATCTCTGAATAGCATATATCAGATACAGTGCGAATGGCAAGAAGTTTCCCTTTCCACTTACGCGAAAATTCAGTGCAAACCGCGTAACACAAGAGCAGAAACTCCTTCATATGATATTCCCAGTTCCTCCCATGAGCCTTGCCTCCCTAGTTAGGGCTCACAGCCACAGAGCAGAGGACTCAGGTGAGCCCCCTCTGCTTCTACTCTGTTCTGGCCCAAACTTGGTACTCTGGATGCTTTGTGTCACTTCTCGTGCCACCAGGACACAAATGTTTCAGCTGCATGGAACGGGACACGGTCACGCAGAGAGGCTGTGTCAGAACAGAAGTCTCAGTGTCCCTGCTCTTCCTAAGGAAGGGAGTTTGCTGAATTCTATTGACATTTTGCAAGTGCTGCATGTCAATGGAGATATCACCAGCCTTCTCCGAGTTATGTGCGTTTCCTCAGCCAGGGCTGCTGGATATATTCCCTTGGCTTCTTTGCCAAGATTGACAGGCTTTTACAGGAACAAGGTCCCAACTGCACTATAATAGAGACCCTCTAAATCTGGGATTCACAGCCTTTATAGGCTCAAGGTACCCCTCGATAGGCTTTAGGCACGCCTTGGAAAGTGCCAGCTTCTAGTTTTCCCTCATCTTTTTTTTGTTCTTACTACAAAAAAATAAAATAGAGTAATTCTTCAGTTGCAAAGAAGTCAGAAAGCTCACAACAGGTCAGGCCGTTTTGAATAATTAAGGCTCCTATTTGAAATCTCTGGGTGTGCCTTTTGGGGGTGCTGGCTGTAGCTGTGTTGGTCTGAGGCCATAGGGTTTATCTTGCAAGCCATGCTTGCACACCTAATAGTGCTGCCGTTGCGTGGCATGCTGTGGCATCCTTGAAAGGAGCTCGTGGCACCCTGCTTGAGAGTCACCATTCTATGTCTTTGAAAGGATTTGCTCTAGACTTAAAGGGGACAGCCCAATTCTAAGCTGTTTAGTGAAAGAGGAGGGCAGTAGCAGAAGGTAAAGCTTCAGAATTAAAATTTTAATTGTATACACTAAAAACCTCATCCTTGGAGGTTTTTAAGGCTAGGCTCGACAAAGCCCTGGCTGGAATGATCTAGTTGGGGCTGGCCCTGCTTGGAGCAGGGGTTTGGCCTAGATGTGACCTCCTGAGGTCTCTTTCAACCCTCATTTTTTATGATTATACAGTACATATTTGTCACCTTTCTAACCCAAGATTAGACAGAGTTAAACACTAAAGTAGGCTGCAATCCCCTAAAATACTTGCTGCAATCAGGTTAAATTCACCTTTTTCTTTTTTTAAAGAAGTGCTGATGACCTTTTTAAGGACAATTAAGTTAAATCCTTCAAAACAGACTTAAAAAAAAAACAAACTCAACCATTTAACAGAGACCTTAGTTTTTGGTTCTCTCATGAAGTGCTGCACTCCGTGATGCACAACAGGATGCTTCAACATGACTAGCAGAAGCTTCAGAGGAGGCAATGCAGTGCCGTAACGTATTTACATTACACGCCTGTATTTTAAGATTCCTGGAAGACGTGGACAGAGACCAGTGGTAAAACGCGCACGTTCATGTCAGATTGACTGAACACTTGTGCGGGAGGGTTATTCCACCGCACACACAAAGCTGTTATGCAGCACATGATCTACTTCCCCACTCGCAGCAAGGACCAGCCTCAGGACTTTTCAGTACTCCCAGCTGTATGCATTTATTATGCAGGCCTATCATTTAACCCACCCCCAGCCTGACCCACAGCATCTCACCAGAAATGTGCTCTGCTGCGAGAGGCAGGCAACACTAGCTGCTCTCATATTGCTTCAGGTTTGCCAGGAAGGTGACTCGGGCCACAAGAGATGAGGTGCAGCCACCATGCTGGCTTTGTAAGAAGTCTAAAATACATTAGTTTTGTTCCAGTGCTCCACCCAAGGTGGTTTAATAATGCCACAAACCCTGCATGTCCCAAAACCAAACAGGCAGAAAGTCTTTCCAGCTTCATGCAACAGGCAGCCTGTCCTACCTAGGGTCCCCATGTTTCAGGTTGGGCAGGGATGTTCTTTATCAGACAAACTCAAGCTTGGTGCTGACAGGACTGGATCAGAGCAGTTACTTCTGGTTGCCTCTGCTCTGAAATGAGAACTCAGCCTGACTGGCAGATTTACACACTCAACCTGAGCAAAGAGTGAGATGGTACTGCAGTGTGGCAAGCATCACAACTCCTACTTTACCAAGTGACCTTTAATGATGTGATGCTGAATGCTGCTCCTGAAAGTTCAGCTGGCTGCTGCAGTTAGGCATTGTTTTTCAACTGTGCATTTAGCATAAAGATTGTACCAGTTTCCCCCCCTTATGGGAGCCCTGCCAAGACAGCCAAGCCCGTGTTATGCCCGCTCTGGACTGCTGTGATGCACTCCACGTCGGTCTATAGATCACTGGAAGCTGCAGCAGTGCAGAGAATAAGGGGAGCAAAGAAACGGGGCATGGAGTATATTAAACCACGCCAGGGATTCAATGGTGGCACTCGCGTCTTGGAGAACTCGCTCCTAGATACAGCTCAAGGAGCGGCTACCAATCTGGAGATGCCCGCCTGGCCTAGCTGGTTCCCCAAATATTCCCTCCCTGCTCCATCTCCCACCACAACTTGGACCAGCCGTGCCTCTGTCCCTGCCCTAGTTTGGAAGTGAGCAGATATAATACAATAATGGGACTATATCACGTTGCGATGGGATAAAAACCAACCCTGTTTTACTAGCTTTCTCATTACAATTAAATTTGGGTAGGAGAAATACAAAAAAAAAGTGATGCTGGATTAGTTGCACAGGAGTCATCATCGGCGCAGAAGTTGGAACGAGTCAGCTAATCCAAGGAAGTTGACCAATCCCACATTGAGTGGCCAGTCCCATGCCTGCTATTGGAGGCTGCTTCCTACCATCAAGTAAAAAGACCCATTAAATCATCACACACAGTAACTGAAGCCATTTCCACCATGTGCTCAACTCCCACCCAGTTCACAAGGCACTGCAGGGTTTTTAAGGGCAACGTTTGCCCTTATGAAATAACACTCGACTCGGGGAAGTCGAGCAGCGTCTAATTCAGTGATCCTGCCACTGGTACGTCTAGAGAGTTAATACATGCCTTGCTGTCGCTCTGTTATGAATGGCACACTTCAGTTTTGGGTCAGAGAAGCAACTGCAATAGACTCATAATGAAGCAGCTAATCAAGGCTCCCAAAGCCTGGTGAGAACCGTCCTGGCCAGGTCAGAGTCCCAAAATACTGGGTGCTGCTGAGGGGCCTCTACGACACAAGCAGTGATTTGCCTAATCGGTGCTTCTCCGCTGGTGGGACTTGGCCACAGGCAACGCTGGGAGTCCTAAACGCAGTCCATGAGCCTTTCACATGTTCCCGGGGAGAACTGCTCCCGGCTTCAGCCCCCGCAGACTTGCTGGTGCAAACGCTCCCAAGGTTGCCCGCTCCCGGGGAGCCGCACCAGCGTTACCAACTGCAGGGACGTTTGGACGTCCCATTTCAGCGCGAGCAAGAGTCTCGGTCCTTAGTTTCTCCAGAATCAGGACAAGCTACTGGTTCAATCCACGCGCTCGTCACGATGCTACAAGACCGAAGCTCGTCGTCACTGGCAGGCCAAGCCCGAGTGCAAGCTCTTCATGAGAGCAACCCCGCGTACGCCGCCCTGGGCGGCACCAGGGACAGGCCGTGATTTATTGGAAACGATCCAGTCGCTTCAGGCGCGGAGCCGGTGTCCTTTGGACAACGGGAGCGCCTGAACCAGCGCCGCTTTCTGTGCTGAGCCACGTGCGTTTGGAGCCGACTCTTCTCCCCCCACCCGGGCGGCATCAAACAGGGGGCCTGAAACCACACTTGAAACGATGGGGGGGAGAATAAAACAACCCCCCTACCCCCTTCGGACAGCTAATTGGGCATAGCAGCGTCCTCAGATCAGTTTGAAGCCCACCGCAAAAAAAGCTAAGGTGGGTGGGCAGGCGGCTGCTGCCTGGAGCCACCCTCAGGCGGGGGGGCAGCCACCCCCCGTGGGGGCTCCCTGCCCCCACC